AAATAGTGAGAGAGATCAATCACCTTTCGCTCCATCAGTGGCTTCGCCCTGCCATCCCTGATTCACAACAACCAACCTCTCCTATAGGTTTCCTATTTTTGAAACTTCCGCCACCGCCTTGTGCGGTACTACTGGTATAACTTATAACTTCTAACTTATAACCTATAACTTATAACCATCATTAACTGTACATGTGAGCACTAAAATCGGGTGACCCAGATCGACTGTCACCGAAGTTATCTGTAAGTTTTTTGTCGCCTGGCCAGTACGCACGTCAGCTTTTATAACCATGGCAGCGAGGATGGGATGTCGACGGTGGAAGATTGAACTTTGGGGGGCCTCAAACGAAGGGCTTACTTTGAGAGGTTGCTGCGTTGCTATGTAACCTACAGGGCTTGAAGATTCCTGTTAGGGCCTCAAACCTCCTTTATTGAATGCTGTCTTCCTACATGCATACATACATACATACATACATACATACATATACACACACGCGCATGCATACATACAAAAATAAAGTCATACATACATAGATAGGTACATACCTACATACTTTCATACAAACAGGCATACATACAAACAGACATACATGCATTCAGACATACATATACATACACACATACATACATACATACATGCATTCATCCATGCATACGTACCAATATAATTTCATCTCTACACACACACACATGCATGCATACGCATTTACATACATATCCGCACACATATGTTCAGATACATACATGTATAAGGAGGTATCCGCATACATACATACATACATACATACATTACATTACGTTACGTTACATTACGTTACGTTACGTTACGTTACATTACATTACATTACATTACATACATACATACACACAGACATACATACATACATACATACATACATACATACATCCATGGACACGTACATACATGTATACATAACTACATATACGCATGCATTCCAAGCTCAAGAAAGGCCTTGTCATCGAGGAGTTAACATGGGAGGAAGGCCCAAGTTAGCAAGGGTTTGAAGCTGTTCAGTTGATCCACCTTTAACCGTCACCCTAAATCTTTTTTAACCCTAAACCCTTTAACCCTAAAATAGAAACTCTCAACATCATACCCACTGCCCACCACAAGGCAGCAGCACCAGCACCAGCACCAGCCACCACAGGCAAGACAAACAACAGGAAGAAAGAAAGGAAAAGGACAAAGCAACAAAGCCATCATCAGGACCTGTTGTCCCACTGGCTGTCGCCTATCTGGCCGTTATTGCTCTGCCTTGGTTTGGCCCCCTTTGGGGGTTCAACCCCCCCCTGGGCAAAGGGCAGGTCCTTAAGGGTGTGGCCTGGAGCCTTGTGATGGCTAGCTGGCACACCGAAGTTGAAGTGGTTGGAATTGAAGCCGTAATGTTAGAACTGTAGAACTGAAGCCAGTACTTGTGAAGTTGCTAGGATTGAAGCTGTTCAGTTGATTCAATTGAAGTTTGATTGTCCACGTCGCAGCGCTTTACCGGCCAAACCCCAGCCCCAAACCGCACCACAACGACCTTGGCACATGGAGCACGGTGCTGGTGGCGATTGCTTTGCAGCAATCCGGGGCCTACTGGTTGTCAAGTCGACAGCTGGAACAGTGCATACCGTGGGATGTGCCTGTGTACGGTATGCTGACGTCTGCGAGGTACACCTGTGCCGGACCTGCGTCAGAACCCCCCCAAGTCCGGATCACCTACTATTCGTGACCAGAGAAGACCGCAGCAGGTTAGCAATAGAAATCACAAGAAAAGATGGGATCCAACCCTTATTGCCACCAAAAATGGTAAAACAATTTCAAACTAGTTATGCTTCAAACGGGTTGAACCCTTTGAGCTCAGATGTTCTAATATGTCAAACACTGAAACATTGGTGAATCTTGACTCACAGGGGCTTGCCGTTCTGAGAGCGGCACTCCTGCATGTTCCCACAAACAGTGTGGCGACACTTAAGGTTCTTACGGTAGTAGCTAAGGCCTGGTGTTCATTCGAGGTGGTCTCATACGTGTTCGCTTTTTTCGGTGACCTTTGCAGCAAAAAGTTCCTTCACCTTCCGTTTTCAAAGGAAGTCTCGCACGAAACTGGGTCTTGGAGACCTCTCTTCCGAAGGTCTCGTTTAAGCAGCGTGCCGTGCTCGTTTTTTGACCTAAGTGCATTTTTCGTGGCAGGCGTGGTAGGGGCGCTTTGAATTCCGAAACATCGTTTTGCCTGACAGGTGCAGGACATCAGGCATTTTTTCATCCGGGTGGCAGGCGCGGCGCTTGCTGCACACTGCTAAAACGTTGGCAGGCGTGGGTCAAAATGAGAGGTGGTTTTGGAGGTCATTTTCCGTGGCAGGCGCAATACTTTGTAGACCTCTGTCAAAAAGTGCCCGAAGCTCAGGTAAAACATTTTTCTTTACATTTTTAATGTTTATTTTACATGGTGCGCGCAATGTTTTGCGAACATCTAATATGTGCTCGCGCAACCTTCTCG